AGGGATCATTATAGGGAAGCTGAAGATGAGTGCAGAAATCTAAAGGACGAGACTCAAGGACAGGTTTACGAAGAAGGAAAGATTGGGGAAGATGAAGACCAGAGCTAACAGAAGAAAAGTGGGAACCCAGTTCGGAAGCGACCTGCAACGGGTCCGCCACAAGAGTATCATGGAGGTGAAGGACCGGTGAAACATCGGGAACGAACTTACCCGCTATCTTGCGGATACGCTTCCAGATCTGGGCCAGAGGGGTTTCGGACGTAATTGTTGAGACATAAGATGCCCAACATTCACGTTTAGCCGTACGGATGGCCCTACGGGCCACCGCACTCGCTTTCCGAAAGAAAAGAAAAGAATCGGTCGTCTGCCTACGGCGGTGCCTCTTCCAGGCTGCACGCTTACAGCGGACAGCCCGAGCACAGTCCGCATTCCACCAGGGAACGCACTTCCGTGGACCCCGAGAGGAAGAGCGAGGAATAGAGCGGAGGGCAGCGTTGAAGACAGTGTCATGAAAAAGGAGGAGAGCGCGAGAGAGAGGCAGAAGGGAGAGGTCAGAGAGAGCAGCACTGAGGGTAAATAGGGTCCAGTCCGCCTTAGCAAACTGCCACCTAGGGAAAGAGAGGGAAGGGCGAAAAGACAACGACGAGAAGAGAAAGGACAAAAACAGAGAACAAGGAAGAAACAAAGGCGAAAGAGCAACAGAGCACGTTAAAGAATATCAGGGTCGGGATCAGGGTCAGCAAAGTCAGGGTTAGGGGGCATGGGTAAACTGAGCAAAGACGGAGGGAAGGAAGCGGGAGAACAGATCAGAGGTGGGCGGGCAGGGTCCGGAGGAGGAGGAGGAGGAAGAGGAAGAGACAACGGAGAGGAGCAGCCAAGGACAGCAGCAGGAAGAAGGGGAGTAGAAAGAGGGAAAGAGGGGAGCGCACCTCAGCCAGGGCAGCAACCGAGAGGGAAGCAGGGGCCAAAGAAACCTCCATAGCAGGAACAGGGGGCACAACCACTGAAACGGGAGGGGAATGAGCAATAGAGCCAGTAGTAGGGGCCGAGGAAGAAAGCGAAGCCTTCTTACCCACCAGGGAGGAGGAAAGAGAGGATCCAGGCTTACGCTTCTGACTTGGAGACAGGTGTCCCAACAAGTATGTACTGGGCAACGGATTCCAGCGTCTCAACAGGAGAAGCTGAACGAGAGCATACACGACGGCCGTTAGGAGAGCGATGGACATCAGCCCGCACCGACAGGCGGCGGGGAGAGCCAATAGACGGAGGAAGAGGATGGGAAGGAGGATCGGAGGGAGACGAGGAAGAAGACACAGGAGACACGACAGACCGGGTAGAAAGAAGGGGAACCCCAGACAGAGGACCAGGAGGAGGATCCTTCGGGAGAGAACCCAAAGGAACAGAGGAGGGGGCAGTGGGCGCATCAGGGTCCAAGGCCCGGAAACGGTTGTGAGTCTGAGGAAGGCGGGAAGGACGAGGAGAGGAAGAGCGCAACACGCGAGCATAAGAGATATTAGCATAAGGCGGGAGCCGGCGAACCTGGCGCCTCGCCTCAGGAAAAGATAAACGCTCCCGGTGCTTCAAGTTGAGGACGGCTGCCTCAAGCTTGTAATGGACACACGCACGGGAGAAGGTAGGATGGGCCTCACCGCAGTTGAGGCAACGAGCCTGGGGAGAAGTGCACTCCGACTTAGAGTGACCTTCGCCACCACACAAAGGACAGAGAGAGACAGTCCCAGAGCAGCGGAGGGCACCATGCCCAAACCTCCAGCACTTGTTGCAGAGCCGAGGAGAAGGAATGTACTCCTGGACAGAGCACCTGGCACCAGCAAGAATGACAGAGGGTGGAAGGGTCCTACCATCAAAGGTAATCTTCACAACCCGGAGGGGTTGACGGCGACTACCACGAGGGGGACGAGTAAACGTGTCCACCTGGAGAATAGAATGGCCCTGGGCAGCGAGGATATGTCGAATATCGTCGTGGCAGTCGCGCAGGTCCCGAACACCGGTCGCAACATGGGGCGGGAGCAGAATAGTGCCAACACTGGCATTCAACTGAGCGTTCTTCGAGACCCGAACAGGGGTCTCGCCAAGGCAGGATAAGGCAGCCAAGCGGGAAGCAGCATCCTGAGAAGGAGCAGCAACGACACGTGTACCGAGACGAGTGGGGTTGAAAGTAATGGAGGCATCCACGGAATCAACGAGATGTCGATGGAGGGAGAAATCGTCAGGAGGCGCAGAATCAAGAGGGAGGAGATCAAAATATTTGGCCCACGAAGCGGGACCAAACAAGGCTTGATAGGTAGCAGAACTGGAAGGAATCGAGCGAGGGCGGCCGTGACGAGGACGGCGGTGAGAACCCCCAGAGAGAGAGGGGTTAAAAGGCGCAGTAGTTACAACTAGAGAAGGAGCCGCGCCAGGGGACGAGGTAGTCACCACTGGGGGCTTGGGGCTCGACCCAACCACAGAGGAGGGAGGGGAGCCAGGGGAAGGAGTCAGAGAGGCCAAAGGAGGAGCAAGGTCGGGGCCCAATGCAGCGGAGGCTACAGAGCCCGGTCTTCCAATACGGACCGACTCGGGGGCTTGGTCGCCCACCCCACGAGCCTGAGAAGGTAAACCAGAAGAAGCCGAAACAGGGGTTATCATCATGACGAAAATAAAAATTCATTCACGAATGTGCCCCCACACCCACCATGGAGCCACAATTAGAGGCAGGACACCCAACAAGAAGCTATCGCCGATCTTGCCGGGGCCTCCTAGGGGTGCGTCGTGAGTATACGCCCCACAAACGCCACCTTAAGAAACCGACAGTCCGTCGAGATCGGGTTCAGTGACGAAAGGGGGATTGACAATAAAAGGTTCCCCTCGCTCTCGACGTCGGGTACTACAGTTCTACGGGTGCAAGAGTATGCCTCCTCAAGCACCCGGGCGTCAAAATAGAAGAAGTCCAAGGGAAGAACCAGAACGAGCAAAAGGTCGGCAGGAAACGGCAAGCAGATAGGAGAAGAGGGGGGAGAAAAACGAAACAGAAGGAAAAGGAAAAGATGCCCAGCAGAATTGGAGAGGACGGCAGCAGGAGCACAAGGCTAGAAAAGGGCAGAGGACTGTCCCAAGGAGCATCACACTCCGGCAGCCGCCCACTAAGCCCCCACACGGCGACAACGAGCTGAGCGGGGAGGGGGACCGGGCCGCGGGGGGACTAAAAAAAAAAAAGCCCCGAAATCATCTCAAGATAACCTCAAGATCATCTTGAACATTGTGAAATTACAAGTTGTCCTCATGGAGTTGAATGGCCACGATTAACACCACCAGATTTTGGGAAGTCCTAATTATCCATTCAGCCTTTAATGTTTGAGCTCTTTCATTATATATGTACTGTAATGGTTATGTTGCAAGCCCAATAACACCCAAGGGTGAGCTGATTATAAATTGTAATTTAATTTATAATTCCATACAGTTTATAATTCCTTCATATGACAAGTTGGATCACACAAGTGGACCACACAACAAGTGAAGCATATGAACCAAACAGCAGCCAGTGGGGTCCCCATAAGTGAACGACTGTGTTTCCATGATTTTCGTTCACTGATTTGTGGCACATGTCTCTTTGTAAATAAATATAAAGGCTGAAGCGTGATTAGCTAACTACATGTGGTGAAATCTCCTTATAGACATTTTCTGTGATGAAACAAGATGAGTGAGGGTGGACACATAAGGGAATACTGTACTGTAAACCTCACTTTACAGTAAGGTTTCACTCACATTCGTCTGTGTCGTCATAGTTCAGTGACCCATGACTTTGAAAGTTTCTGATTAATTCATCATTTCTAAAACCAGTGTTTTAATAGCTCTTTATTATCCTAACTAAACTAAATAAAACCCAAAATATACTGTAATATGATAGACATCTGTTATTTTAAAAATTATTTATGTTATTAGCACAACTACTCCAGCGCGAGTTGACAGGTCTGATCTTTGTACACACAGCACCATGCGTGTTTCGTTCGATTTCGTCGCCACAGTTCAGTGACCTACAACCTCGAAACAATAAAATTATTAAATCAGTTCTAAAATAAGTTTTTATAGCCCTTATTATCCTAATAATGTTACTAAACTAAATATATATAACCCAAAAATATATAATTTGATGTAAATCCAATATTTGAGAGAAATTTATGCTACTGGATCTGGCTTAAACACCAGCCTACTGTAGGGTGTATAGACCTAGTCTGCGTTCATACAGTAGGCACCCAGTGCCGTTAGCTTTGTGAGTGATGTGTTTGTCCGCCGGTGGAAGAATACTAGTGGAATTTAATTCACTGAAGCAAAATCGAAGAGCAGATACTGGATTAGTGTACACAATGCAAAATGCATTATATACAGCTCTGTACTAATAATAAGCAAGCAAACTGAAGTCAAATTGAGCTTAAATCTAAAGTAGTGTATCTCATTGTTTTCAGCACCAAAAGTAGTTGAATCGGTGATTTTTGTAAATACAGCAAATACACCTTCAGAAATAAATCCAATTTCACCAGTTTCCCTACAAAAGTGTTAAATACACAAGCAAGCAATTTACAAAAACTTAAAGGTCATGCAAAAAGCCATTCGTGTAAATTGTTTAAGACATACTGTAAAACATTCTCAGGACCCAACGGCACAACACCAAAACCAAGATGGAGCTAGTCCTCGTTCAACTTTTTCCCTCCTCTTGTACCACAAAGAAATGTGAAATTCAGTGTTACAAGAAAGTATGACTGTTCACAATCATTATCAAATGAAACAAATTTATTCAAGCCCAAAAACAAAGGACCTTATTGCTAATTAGCGTGACAAATGTAACATTCAACTTAAAAATAATGTTGAAGAAACCGTCCCTGCTGAGGATTCTATGATATAGTATATAGTACTCGCCCATCTCAACAGGACGATTGAGCGTTACATTCAAACCACCACCACCACCGAGACACCCACGATGGGAGAGCAGTTTTCTCGTGACTTACTGCGCCACCCAGGCATTGGTGTTCGTATTGAAGGACCGAATGAGATGGCCAAATTGGGTAGACCCTTCCCAGAGGAGGATATTGACGTTTCTACAGCCATCCCACAGCATATCTCCAGCCGAGTTTCGGCCATTGAAAGCCAGTCCTGGGGCCGGTAAGACTGTTTTAGAGTGCAACTGAGAGCATAATGTAAACAAAATTTAGAAATAAAAAATAAACTAGATATGGTTTGATTGCTTGAAGGTGGTGCCCTCATCTCCTATGCTGGCATACTTCCTAAAATGTTGTGCGTGATAAGTGTTTTTTTAAGAAAGGACAATAATCATAGTAAATAATGAACCAAACTGCATTACTGTACGTAAATTTCAATTAATAACAATATTATCATTGAGAAAATCCGTAGGAGCCGTGATGAAAATTCGAACCTATGCAATGGGTATTCCCACACACATACCTGGTTGAGGTATGTGTGGGGGAATACCCATTGCCCACATGCCCTCTGAATATTATCATCAACATCATATCTTACAATACAAAAAAATAAATAAAACCAAGTGTTGAATGTAATGAAATGCCTCTATCTGGAAGAGCCCAAGTGGGTCCCTGAAACTTTCATGGTGAGATTGACCAAAAGGTCTCATTAGTCCTAGTAGTTTTGTCTGGTCTAACAAGGACCCGTGCCAGAACCTGGCCCCCCACTTACAGAGGCACAGGAGGGGGGGGGGGTGCAGGTGGGGGGGGGGGGGGGGGGGGGGGGGGGGGGGAGTGACAATTCACCACCCTACTGGGAATGCATCCAAAAAATTCACAGGGGAAGCCACAAAACAGCTAAATGCCTGCAAACAATTTTCACAGAACAAGAGATTCACTCAAACTAGCTCAAAACTCATTAATACCAGCTGCCACCCCTGGCTCACAGCTGGTTCCTACAACCAGCCACCACCACCACCAGGCATGCCACCCCTGGCTCACATCTGGCTCCTACAACCAGCCACCACCACCACCACCAGGCATGCCACCCCTGGCTCACATCTGGCTCCTACAACCAGCCACCACCACCACCACCAGGCATGCCACCCCTGGCTCACATCTGGCTCCTACAACCAGCCACCACCACCACCACCACCACCAGGCATGCCACCCCTGGCTCACATCTGGCTCCTACAACCAGCCACCACCACCACCACCAGGCATGCCACTCCTGGCTCACATCTGGCTCCTACAACCAGCCATCACCACCACCACCACCACCAGGCATGCCACCCCTGGCTCACATCTGGCTCCTACAACCAGCCACCACCACCACCACCAGGCATGCCACTCCTGGCTCACATCTGGCTCCTACAACCAGCCACCACCACCACCACCAGGCATGCCACTCCTGGCTCACATCTGGCTCCTACAACCAGCCATCACCACCACCACCACCACCAGGCATGCCATCCCTGGCTCACAGCTGGCTCCTCTAACCAGCCGCCACCCCTGGCTCACAGCTGGCTCCTCTAATCAGCCATTTCTGTAGCTGATGAACAGCCCACTGATGAACCAACATCCTGGAGGAAGGGATGGGAATCAGAGAGCCACCTGGGCCCTACTAGAAAGAAGTTTCATTACATTTAACACTGGGTTTCTGCAAGAGCTACCCAGTGGCTCCGTGAAGCTAACCAACCACAGAAAACAAAGAGTGATTTACCAAGGAGGATGAGAGGCAGCAGGCACTAGGACAAAGAACAAAACCCATGCCAGGAGACATGGCTCAATGACTGACTGAGACTAGGAACATTGGCTAAATACCAGAATGGGAAGGATGAGGCAACAAAGATTTTGTCTAGGTGGAGCTCACAACACCTCCAACTGTGCGTTCCTAAACTTCATCGTTGCCAACTCCAGGGCAAATGCCTAACCTGAGCAAACTTAGCTTGCCAAGCAGCAACTGCTTGAAAAGCTGTCAAACTCAAACTCAAAATTGAATCAGTAAGGGCAGACACACAGTGAGAGTGCACCTTAAAGGATTTAGGATCGTAGGTGTTACCAACCCAGTAGGCAGCATGGCAAAGGTAGAAAGAATGATCATTAGGTAGCAAAGGCAAACACCCTTCAAGCTCTCACTTGGTGAGTGTGGGCTTGACGGGGCCGATCCACAGCGAACCACACCAGAGACCCATAAAGGGATTACCAAGGCTTGAAGGCAGCTAGCCATGCAGAAACCTGACTGTTCACTGGAAGAACAGTCACCAAATTCAGCCAAAACCACCATGATATGAATGGTGACTGCAGCATGCAAACCCCAGTGTGCTCCAGCACAACCAAAAGAACACACCAAGCCAAGGGCCAAAGTCGAAGATCAAAGTCCAGGACGAGTCGAGTATAGCCCAGGATGAGGCTCTCCACCCCAGTGGCCTGGCCTCTCAGAAGCAAGCTCCCAGACACACAAGAGAAGTTAACACTGACTCTACAAGAGCAGCATTAAAAGGCACTCAAGGAATAAAATCCTGAGTGCATGCAGCCTGAAATACAACACAAGCCAAGCCCAGACAACAAGCAGGACAGAAAACATGCATGCCAGGTTAACAGTAAAGTAAGGAACACAACAAGAAAATGGATCCTGCAGGACAAACAAAGTCCAAGAATGGCCAGCACTTAGTCAACTTAGCCAGTTGAGCCAGGTCGGACTTAGGGCGTAGAAGCACTCCCGAAACCCTCTTTGCAGGTTTGTCTCGCTGCTTCAAGCCCCTCAACTTGAAGCAGCGGGGCTTGCCCATGACAGAGGACCTAAGCACTAACGGCAACAGTAGCTACCATAACACCTGCAGCAGAACTAGCTGGTTAGGGAAGCCTGCTGCAGACTAGGGCAGGGCCACCTGGTGGTGGCGAGTGTTAACGATGGCTTCTGAGCTAATCTGAGCGAGTCCCTTGTTCTGTGTTAATTGCTTGAGGATGGATTCATTCGACTCTTTCGATGCTTCATTTTCTGTGAACATTCTAGTTGTCTATAAAAGTTTCGCTGACTTTCTGGATACGCTCCTGGTGGGATGGTGAAGTGTCACTCACTCCCCGAGCCTCTATGAGGGGCAGGTCCCAGATTTTGACACGTTCCCTGTAGGCCAAAAAGAACTTCCGCAACTGATGTGACTTTTTATTACGGAGCAACATCAGTAAGATAGCTTCATGGAGCCACCAGGGGCTCCCCCAGAAAATAATACTATACAATGCTTAAAATTACACCATAAACTAGATTTATAGAAACCAAAATCTAAAATTTAAAAAGTTGCAACCGAGAAAGGCATCCCCGGACTGCCATACCTTGGCACAAGGATGAGGTTTTGTAAGGAATACAGTATTGTACAGTACTGTAGTGTGTGTGAAAATGATTGAACGATACTATAATGAGTACAAGTACAGTAGACTAATGAATGTGAGGATAATGAGTACATGGTGTATGGGTATGAGGATAGTGAGTACAGTGTGTATGAATATGAAGATAATGAGTATAGGGTGTATGAGTTGGAGGATAATGAGTAGAAGAAGAATAATGAGTACAGGGTGTATAATGAATCTGAGGCTAATAAGAACAAGGTGTGTAAAGAGTATTTGTAGTTGTTCCCAAGCCTACTTCTCAGGGTTTGTCTGGTGATAACTGGATCAGTTATCACCAGACTGCTCTGTTGCTCAGAGCAGTCCGCAGGCCGACACATCCATTACACAACCTGGTTGATCCGGCACTTCCTGCTAGACCCAACCAGGGGCCAGATTCACGAAGCAGTTACGCAAGCACTTACGAACCTGTACATCGTTTCTCAATCTTTGGCGGCTTTGTTTACAATTATTAAATAGTTAATGAGCTCCAAAGCACCTGGAGGCTGTTTATAACAATAACAGTTGATTGGCAAGTTTTTATTTTTGTAAACTGTTGAATAAATGTAACCAAAGCCGCCAAAGATCGAGGAAAGATGTACACGTTCGTAAGTACTCGTGTAACTGCTTCGTGAATCTGGCCCTGGGTTGTAACGAGAACTTGTCCAAGTGTGTCTTGCAGACCTCCCCTCGTGTTCTAGTATTATTTCTTATACGTGGTGGGAGGAGGTTGAAGAGTCACCATAGACTTCTGATATTCATATAGTGTTCAGTGAGCGGCACCTCCATTTCTCACTGCGCATTTTACATTTTCCCGCCATATCTTTCGCTTGAGTAAATTTCTATTTTGGTGTGCACATTTGAAACCTGGCCTTCCCATATCACACATGAAAATATTATGAGATGCTTTTTTCATCTCCTTTTCAGAGAGTATATATACTGTATTTTGAGTCCTTTGAGATGGTTCCAATAACTTAGGTACTTTACCATGTCTACACATGCTGTAAGTATCTTTGAATTCCTTCGATTTCAGAAATCATTCTTGCTTTGAAGGAGAGAGTGAATACCGAACTGTATTCAGAACGTGAAAATATAAATGGTTGGAAAAGTAGGAGCAGTGTGGTGCAAATCCTTGTATTTGAAGGTTCTCATAATCCACCCTCTATCAGTTTCCTGGCTGTTGATATATTAGCTCTGTTATGCTCACTATGTTAAGTCGTCTGACATAATCTTCTCCAGATCCCTAACGTGTGGTTACCCTTCCACAAAGAGATCTGATTGTGTCTTGTATCTAATATTTTATTAAGCTTCAGCATATTTACCTTATCTATGTACAATATCAACCATTTATCACTATTCAAAATGTTATTTTCTGTTAACCAGTGGAAGACCTTATCGATATCAAGTTGCAGTTCTTAAGCATCTATTGAGGTAATTTTCGTACTCATTCTGGCATCGTCAGCAAAGAATGACATCCCCCCACACCGGACACCCCCCCCCCAGCTGTACCCTCCCAGCCACATTTGGAGAGTATTAATACAGAAGGTTTCCTTGCTACCAGCTGGTGGATCAGGAGGCAGACTGCCCGAGATTAAACTCTGCTGTTTACTGACTGTGAAAGCCTGATTGACTGTAAATTCCTGACTGACTGTAAATGCCTAACTGGTTGTACCACAACTGTAAATGCTTGACTACCTTTGGTTATACAGTAACTGCCTGTGACTGGTCTCGAGTGTGAATGCTTGACTACCTTTGGTTATAACTGCCTGTGACTGGTCTCGAGTGTGAATG